GTTTGGAAAAAAGACACGAACCTGGTTTCAAAAATGCCCCTTTTTTTGGTTGGAATTAGACAGGGGTGGTGGTTGTCCAGTGTGAATCTGCTTTAAAATGGCTCATTTTATGTGAATTTCAATACATCTAAAAACAGTACACATTTTGCACTGTGACCCCAAACCTACACCTACATGCACACAACAGCTTCTACACAACACTTCCACTTCCTCTGTGGTTTATTCCTAGATTTTAACTACTCTCCATCCCTCCTCCTCTCTTGTCCCTTTGGCCCCCCTTTGGGGGCTGTCTGGTTTGCTTTTTGCTGACTCAATCCTACTAAATAAAAACGTGACCAAGTGCCCACTGTGCCAAGCACTGCCTGGGGGTCCAGGATACGGCTGCTCCTGAGACTTTACTCACAGGCTCTTGGAACCATCTGGGCGTGTCCTCTAGGGATCAACACACTTCTGATTCCCGACCAGAAACCAGATTGTGTCCAGCCTGCGTGCTGCCTGGCCTGACTTACAAGCATAACTGTGGTTTCCTAAGTCTGTTTCTCTGGGAGAAGGAAGCCCAGAGCCCAAATTCACCTGCTCTCCTCTCCACATCTAGGGCCAGAGCAAATCCACAGAAGCCTGGGACACAGCGACATGCAGGGCTGCTTGTTCCCACGTGGGACACACGTACTGCCTCTATGAGCAAAGTCAACCAAATCCAGCATGCGGCATAGAAAGAAGTCTGCAACAGATACTGTTCTAGAATAAAAACGACCGAAGAGGAGAACAGAATGTGGCCTTACTGTGGACAATTAATTCCCTTTCCTGTCCCCATGCGGCGCCCCACACTCAGGCAGATGCCTGTACCATCTGCTCTGGCCAATGGGATGTGACAAAGGCGACCCAGGCAGAGTGACAAGTGCTTGCACACTGATGCATGCATGCTTGGTGCGTCATCCGTGTTCTCCTAGCTGCCCGCCAGACGTGAGGCCACCCTCTACTATTCATCCTCAACTGGGCCAGCCCAGCCCTCTCACAGAATCGGAAGAAATAATGGTTGCTTCACGCCATTACTTTTTAAGGTAGTTTGTTATGCAGTGAAAGCCAACTGGATCCTGATGCAAACAAGCCAATCATAAGAAAGCCATTGTTGAAACAATCAGGAAAATTCGAATATAGATTGGATAGTCAGGGACATGGAGTTCCCGTTAATTCTACGAGGTGTAACTTACGGCACAGTGTCCTGGTTAGCTTGGGACGATGCATGCTGATTTATGGGGAAAATGACATGCTTTAAGTTTGCTGTCAAATATTCCGGCAAAGCTGCGGGGGGGGGGGGGGGG